TATCTTATTGATGGAACAACAGTAGCTCACACATCTGTTGAGGTAAAATGAAACTGTGGGGAGGGCAATTCAGACTCCCTGTATCTTAACAAACTGAGCCTTAATCCTGATAGAATATGTAATACTGTTTAAACTGCATGACTTTATTACTTAATATCTCTTGTATGTTTGTCTTTTCATTCAATACTTCTAATGAATCTCTACTGGAGAGACATAAAGGAGAAAAATAATTTACACAATAAATAACCAAAGTACTGTAGGCGCAGAGAAATCAATTCAAACAGACTGCAAACAATGAACCCATGGCCATTACTTTTAAAATACAACACAGCGCACTATGTAAATATAACAGTAATCCATCATACCTGTTCCAGCCAAGTGGAGAGAGGACATTTTATAACAGCAATGCCTCAGTGTCAAATCCCACAACAACCAATAAGTTGAGTTACTCTTAATGAATCCCGGTGGGGGGATTTGTCTCCTACAACAGACTCAAGTAACTGGTAAAGCTGAGCCAACTCCAAAGTCTTAAATATTTATTCCTATTAGCCAACATACAGTACAAATATGTGAAGCTGCATATTACTTCTTACTCATGTCACTAAGAAAACTCTCAAACCTCCAATTTACATCAAGAATATGCGTTTCTATATGCGGAAATATGCTGGTACAACAGCGATAGACAACAAGACAACAATGTGGCGTGGCAGCCATCTTTCTCATACGCAGTTCCTTCAGCTGTTGGATATTAAAACCACTGTGTTATATATATTACACATATATTCTCACTCCCAACTCCTCATAGAGTGGCCTCCCAGTTCAAAATATGACGCTGTAGGTATTCTTGGTCCAGTTAAGATTTACTGAACAGCAGCCTACCTTTTTAACGAGGAGGGGGGCCGTCCTCTTCTCACAGGGTACGAAACAGTGCTGGCGCTCATCCGGGTTCACGTGCACATACTTGTGGTGCGCACGCCCACGTAGGTTTGACCCTGCAGACGTACGTTAAAGGTCCTTGAAGTCTATCATTGGCTCAGCCAGCTGTCCATCAAAGTCTGCCAAGATTCCCTGCACAGAGAAAGCAAGAGAGAAGGATAAGAAGAGGGAAAAGGTTGAGAGGAGAGAGGGGGAGAAAGGAAGGAGGCAGACGCGTGGACAGATGCAGCGAGAGGACGATAGACCAGCCAAATGGCAGCTTGGCTGGTAAAGTTACATTGTCCTTCAGTCAGCAAAAAAATACATCCATCATTGGGAAGAGAAGAAAGACCACGAGTGAAATGGAAAGTAAGCATCATGGGTAAGAAGAGGCACCATTCCTCCCTGTGGCTTATCAATGACAGAGTGACAGAGAGACAAAGTAAGGCTGAAGTTAAGACACAGTAGCAGCAGAACCGCTGCCTATTAATCAATCAGTGTCAAGCTGAAGCCATTGCACTTCAGCGCAGACAGCTGATGTTTGACTGAAAAACACATCCTTGGAGAAAGTGGAAGCAAGTGTCCTTTGTTAAATAGGCCTGGAAGAACACAGCAGACAAGACAAGACAAGACTAAACAAGAGTACCAACACATTAAATCAAAATTAACGAAACCTGCTCAGCCTGTTTTCCTCAACACAACTATGAAAATAAACTGAGCAAGGCTAGCTCGCAGCGCAGTTGGGTTGGGGTCCAGTAGCATTTTGATAAATCTGAACCCGTATTGATTCTGCTTATTTAACCTGATTAACTTTGGCTTTCAACATTTATAAGTTACTGAAGTTAACTCAAAGATTCAATTAAAAGTTGCGTTGGTTGAGAAGCCAGATATAACAGCTACAGCTTATTTAATTTCATACCTTAGTTTTCACATCTTAACTGCCAATGCATAAAATGGGCCAGTGCTCACAGGTACTGATTACCAGCACTTCTGATTATTACATGAGTACCCTTACTTTACTGTTCATTGCCTTCGTTGGTTGAGTTCATTAGGTTGAGAAATGAGGAGTGAGATGGTTAGCATTCATGTGTAAGCACATAGCTAGCTTAACACTAAAGAAACAGCGCTAATAATCAGAGTCACAGTCAATAATAAATGTATAATATAATATAAATAATAATAATAAATAACAATATACAATACTTATGGTGTGCAACAATACTTGGTAGTGCAAAAAAAAAAGGCAAGGTTGGTAATGGCACAAAAAAATATTAAAATTCTGTAAGATATATTTGAACATTAACAGTGCAAAAGAACATTCTGCTGACATTCAGTGAAAACAGTAAACAGTGAACAGTAAACAGTAAACAGCAGCCAATAATAGTTCAATAGTTTGTTTCCTGTTGAGTCCTGAGTTTGGGTGGAGCAGAAAGGGGGGGGGGGTTAGCTTTCTGACAGCCTGGAGGATGAGCATCATAAATCAATAACCAGTAATCACTCTTATAGTATTTCTTTATCTTTCACATTTTCTGGCCCCCTACTGGCTGAAACCGGCTGTTACAGCTGATCTGGAGTCAGGTGACCTCTGCACTGCGGCTGCTGCGTAGCCGTTAACATGACAAACAGCGCGAATGTGCTTCTAGTGACATCGTTGTGATTACAGCGACCGAGAGAGAACGAACGGAGACACAGCATCTGTTAGCATCTGTTAGCATCTGTTAGCATCTGTTAGCATCTGTTAGCATCTGTTAGCATCTGCAGAAACGAGAACAAACAGATTTTTATTGTTATAAACACAATGAATGTTTAAAAGATCAAAAAGGAGACGAGTTATTGTTGTTGTTGTTGTTGTTGTTGTTGTTGTCTGGACTTCCTTTAACTGTGTGTGTGTGTGAGCGACAGGTCAATTGACACAGAACAAGACAATTGACCCCTGGAGGTCAAAGGTCAGAGGAAACCTTCCTCCTTTGTCTGGTTTTCAGAGAGTTAATGACAGCGAGACTCACACAATCAATCAATAAATCAATCAATCACCTGTCAATATCAACACAACTTGTTTTTATCAGAATGTTATCATTTTACTCATTTTATTTTTTATTTGTTGTTTGTTCGAATGAAAACAAATAATAAAACAATAAAGTTAATATAAATTAATTATTAATCAATATTGATTATTGATTAATTAAATCCAACAGTTGAAGCAACTCAGTTGTTTTGAACTTAAATGTATTTTATTGGTTTGTTCCACTGACTCATTTTCTGTAAGTTAACTTTATATAATTATAATATTTAAACATTATAATGTTGTAGTTTAGTGTTTTATTAGTGATAATTAGCCCAAATAATTCTTGATCCTCAAAGTGTAAAGATTTTATGTTTGTCACATAAAAAAAAAAAATTCTGATAATTAATTATTAATAGTTTTTAAAAACTGAATAATTTAATCTTCAGTGGAAACATTTATATAAAGATTTATTAAAGTAACTTTATTCAGATGAATTCTGTTTACGTATGAAAGTTCCCGTATTAAAGTGAGTCTAACTTAATTTACCTAAAATACTTTAACAATAAATATTTAAGTTACTTCTCCTCAAATTAAACATTTTAATTAACTTTTCAAACTAACTCATCAGGTTTTACAGATGTTATTGATCAGAAGTACATTTACTCACTTTTACCTGATACTTAAGTTATGGAAGCAAAAATAAATAAATCAACATTGTGAAAAATTTAATAATTTAATATTTTTAATTTTCCGATTTTCTTCTAAAACTCAAAGTTTTCTAACGAAAAAAATTGAATTACTTCAATGAAAGATTATTGATCGTTTTAGTTTAATTCAGATCATAAAAGTTTGAGTTGGACTTAAAAGTTTAGTGAAACTAATTATTCATCAATTATTAAATTAATTAACTATTTTGATAATCGAAAGTTATTTTTTAAGTGTGAATATTTTCTGGTGACAGTGAACTGAATGTATCGAGAATGAATGTAACTGCGAAACAACGATCAATATTTGTCAACAACTAATCGATTAATGGAGGAAACGTTGCCAATAGCAGCTGTAGCATCAGTTAGCTGACGACAGAATAAAGTACTGAGCTGGTTTTATTCCTGGTGTTGGCTCCTGCCCCCCCGCGGCGCCTGCCCCCCCGCGGCTCAGTCAGCTAACTTTAGGTTGTGTTCACTGGGAGGCTGCTGACGCTGACAGCAGCTACATTGGCAGTTAGCGGAGGACGTCAGAGGGAAAACCAGAAAATATTCTCTCCATAAAATCTGATCCACTTTCAGCCAAATCACTGATAAACTGTGTGTTTGATTGACGGGTGAATGTCAGGATATCATTGGTTGAAATCAGTTAGTTCATGATGACGTAAGCACGCGTCACATTTAGTTTCACAGGAAGACACAATGATTGGAGTTAATATAAAAATATAAACTGTTTACGTAGTTAAATATGTTTCTGGTTGTTTTTGTGAGAAATAAATAAAATGTGACACTTTTCTTCCAGATAAAGTGGAGATCTTGTTTTCCAGCTCGCTGTGTGTTTGTGACTCGTGCCCCCTCTCGTCGCTGCTCTTCAGACACCATTTGGACATCTGATCCGACCCACGCAGCCCGGACCCTCGGCCCTTCCTGGGCAGCTTTTGGACCTGGGGGACAAATGCCAGCCCATTCAGGAGCCTCTAATTGTGGCCCGGGAAGCTCCACAAAGCCCCCCTGCCTCCACCCTCAATGGGCTGCCCTGCGGAGGCCCGTGTGAACCGCAGAGCCCCCTTTTCTCCTCCCCATCCTGCCTCAGTGTGTCGGCCCCCCTGCACATGTTAATTAATAGGCCTCACTGGCAGATTTGGATCCCGCTCGGCTTTGATTGAAGGCGGCCATTAGCATCTATTAATTGTGCCTCTGGCGCTTTATCGCCAGCTCTGAAAGGAGGAATTAAGTGGTGTGAGTTATTGTGAGGGCTCGGGGTGTGAGTCTGAGTTAAAATGTGATTATTGTCCCCGCAGCCCGGAGCCAGCTAACTGCTGCTAAGCCCTCTTGAAAGTGAAGGGGCGACTCCTCTCATTAGAGCCCAACAAGGGAAAGATATTAACAGGAAATAACTGCAAATTTCTTTTTTTTCTCTGCTTCTAATCTCGGCTCTTTATGTCCCGCGTGAAAAGGGCACTTAAAAATGTAAAGAGGGGGGAAAGTGGAGCGCGAGCGGCGCGGATAAACAGCGATGATACAGTAGTCCAGCCGATGGATTTCATTTTGTTTTTCACAGCAACGGGATTTAATTGGGCGAGCGAGGAGCAGCTGCAGGAGTTCGGTTCTCATTGTTTAAAGTTTCTGATCCACAGAAACGAAGGAGGCAAAATGTTCATACGAACGGATAAAACAGGATGTGAAACCTTCATTTTATGAACCCTGAACTAATTGGCACCAAGGATTCATAACACCTAAACAACACTGAGGTTGAACTCATTAGCAGGAAGGTGAAGGCAGCGCCCCCTGCTGGCCTGGAAACACAGTGGAAATATGACTTTAACACATTAAACCCCATTAACAGTGGATAAA